CTCATTACGAATATGGCACTCATTTCTATATCCAAAATGGCGGGGACGATTTTCCGAATAATGGCAAGTTGGGTATCGTTTTCGAGGTATTTGGGGGTGCTCATTAGGAATATGGCACTTGTTTGTAAATCTAAGATTTCCAGAACCATCTTGAATTTAGAAATTAATGCCACATTCTCAATAAGCACTCCCAAACAACTCGAAAGCGTCTATAATTCTCGTTGTCGACAATTGTTATAATTGTTGTGACGTTGACAACGATCGACAATGTCGATTATGTCTGTAGGGTCCTAATCGACATTGTCGATCGACAATGACGATCAACAATGACGATCGACAATGTCGATCGTACCTGTAGGCACCTTTAGGAACTTCCATATATTAGCAAAATAACAGTTAGAGATATTATTTGTATTAAGTATTGACGCCTAGCTGCCCTCACCATCTGATTACATCTGTTACGAGCAGTCTTTTACAGAGGTCTAACAATCGCGTGAAATTAGATAGATATATAAAATCTTTATTCACCACCATGACAAATGCATACACAGACACGTGATACAGACATTAACTTAGACGTAACACAGTAATATATTCTACTATCTCTCTTGGAAGCCATGGCAATGAAAAGGCGCTGACTCAGCATAAATGACGCGGCTGCCCGCGATGCTGGTATTCTGCCAGGACCCTATAGGGACAGGGACGCCACTCGTAAAAACCCAAAACAAAACCAATTTAATTCAATTCAAATTCTAACCAATTCCATTCAATCCAATTCGATTTCACTCAATTCAATCCAAGTTAATTTCATTCAATTTATTTATTTATTATGTATTTGTTTTTTCTCAAACACCTTAGCCACTCATATTTCCAATTTTTGCATATTTAAAAGATACTCTTTCAGCTTCTGCTTGAAAGTTCTTTTTGTGACGTTGTTACGGATAGGAGGAGGAATATTGTTCCAACAACGAGAGGTTAAGTATCCTCCAATCATCACGGTTGAAAATCCGCACGATCGATCACGTCTAGTCATGGCCATACGAACGCCTCAATCAAGCCAAGGAGTAGGAGGTTTACTCCCGTTTTACTCTAACAGCCCTTAGTGGGGCAAGGGCATCCTATAGTTTGAGCAGACACTGTTTAAGGCTGGAAATATTCACATTAACTGACGACGCACCAAAGTCAAGCTTAGCAGCATCCTTCCTCGGCATATTAAGGTCAAGTCGAGCAAAGTTACGTATCCATAAGACAAAGGACTTAATTTTCGGGGGTTTAGTAAAACATAGCTAAATTGGGGATTGGGAATTTAGTAAAACAGCTAAATTGTAAATGTTTAGTTTTTGTATAATTCAAGTTTATGCGAAATATACGTTCAGATTTTTTGGGCATAAAAACTTTTTGCTTAATCTTGACGTAAATCCATAGGTCGGTAATGTAATTAAAAAGTCCGTGGGTATAATTTAGGACATTACGACCGACTTTGACGGCGTGACATGTCATGTCATGATATTGTGTACGAACAAGTGTGATGATAAAAAAATCGACCTCAAAAGTACGTGTAATTACGTCTATTTGCTAAGTTTTATTGAAATATCCCCTAGTTCGCCACTATACAGGACTTGACACTGGAGATAATAAAAAATCGGTTCTCACTACTCAAAGTATATAGAGAGAAAAACGTCTTGAATTGGAGAAATAGCAAAATCAACCATTAAAGTAATTGCTCCTAAATTAAAGTTAGGCGCTATTTATAAAACTGAATTTTCATGCGTGAAGCCACCCTTCGAGGTGGATGATTTTCTTCAAAATGAAATGGGACCACTATGGAAGTACCCCCTTTCCAACAAAAAAATAATCATGAAAATCGGTTCACAAATACCGGAGTTATCGCGTAACATACATACAAAAAAAAGAACATACAGTCGAATTGAGAACCTCCTCCTTTTTTGAAGTCGGTTAAAAACATTACCTAATCTTTTATCGCGTCGTGGGTCGCATTTATACGTCAACTATACTACTGGCCCGGTCACTTTCGAGACTAACTAACGGGCCAACTATATCGCAACCCATTTTAACGTTGTAAATTAATAATATTTATTTATATATATATTTATTAATTAGTGTATGGATGTATTCAGAAGAGTCCCGTGTCCAGCAGTGGAACGTATAGTTGAGATATCGAGCGAGGAATGCGCGCGAGCCATTTTTTTATAGGCGACAACTGGTTCGGTTCCTCGCCCCCTTTGCGGGGTATCAGGCAAGCCGCTGTCCTGCTACCGCTTGGACGACGGCTCACTCTAGGGCTCACTCCGAAATCTGTCTTAAAGAGAGACGCACGCGCATTTTCTTCATAACAAGCGATTTCGTATGAGGACTCCGCCAAGTTCTTTTTTTATTTTTGGAATTTAAAATAATTAATCGTTAGTGTTTTTACACCCACTTGTTTGGGTCCGAGGTTTCCGGTACTTATTACCGTTCTCAGCGTCGGCTGGCCTGTGCCCAGAGAGCAACACCGTGCCCCGGACATATATTCGGCGGACGCCGTCAACCCGCATCCCCGGACTTCATATTCGGCGGACGGATCCGGTCCTGTACCAGTTACTTCAACCCCGGACGTTACTTCGACGGAACATCCAGGGGAGTCCAGCTGCTGGTCGTAGGAAGGCAAAAGTTCAGTGAATAACCGTTGGGTTTAAAAAAACGATGCGCCCAAATAAATTTGTTGACAAGGGTATTCCTTCTTTTATTTAGAAGACCCCCCGTAACACCATGTACCTACACCATGCCTACACCTCTAAATTAAAGGCTAAATTGCCGCCTGCGTGGAGAGCCAGCGGTAGAGCTCCTTGTGACAGAGTTCGTGTATGGAAGTACTGCCACCTTACCTATTTCTACCGCCAAGTAATAACGCGAGCATTACTGCGTTCCGGTTTTGCAGGGAAAGGGTGCTGGTGAAATTATAAGCACGCAGGACTTGTCAACTTATGTCTCAGGGTGACGGGCGTAGTGGCAGTCCTTTAGGTCTTTGCGTTTTAAAGCTCTGAGTGGCACTACATCTGTTATGGACAGGTGTGTCCCTTACCAGCAGGCCCACGACTTGTTCGTACGGGACGAACAAGTCGTGGGCCTGCTGGCCACTTGGTAAAGAAAAAAGGAAAAACCCCGTTCAACGTTTACACTCTGTTCTGGCGAAAGTATTTCGTAGCGTCCTGAGCAGAAGTCTGTGCCTATTTGGGCACCATCAGGTCTGGTACTTAATTTATTACACGAGTTAAACCCGGGTTTTCACTATACGACTGCTCTGGACCGAGTGCGCTCGAACGGGCTAGATCGTATACAAGTCCACGCGGATTTCGGGCCACCCCTTACCCAAGTTCATCAGTGTCCAAGTCGTAGTAGCATTTGCTTCCTTTAACAATCAAGACGAAGACGACCGATCTGCAGCTGATAAGTATAGAAGTTGTAGCAGATGTGTTAATGGCTGAACTGTAAACTCATTTTTACACGCTTATTACAGATAGAAAGAAAAAACACATGTACCTATGCATGTTTTACATAAAAAAGTTACCCAATAAAAATTTGGTAAACAGATTAAGAATTATCTGTTGCTTGAGTTAGGAAAAAACTTTGCGTTTCACTCAAAATATTCATTAATTGCAAAAAAGCTGATTTTTTACCAAAAACCACTTCACGCTGTTGACCAATTCTGGGCAAATTCTTTACCTGCTAAACTCATATATATTTTACAATTTTCGTTTCTCTGTCATCTTATTCTTAAGTATACTTGCACAGCTGCAGTGAAGTGTTGTTTTGTTCCAAACTTAGGGTAGAGCACTTTTGAATCTAATCTTCTGATCAACAATTATTGTTATTAACTATTGTGTTGTTATGTTTGTTTTACTTGCTGCAATAATTAATGACCACATGACAGACAAAAATCTGGCAATTTGTTTTTTTCTATATTTAGCGGTAAGACCGCTAAGTTAGCAACGGCTCGATGATGCGACTGTCCTCACGTTGCAAAAGAAATAAGGTAAGTATCACAGAGTACTTAACAATACAATCGTTAACTGTATAACAGTTTTAAGCAAGCGGAGCTATAGCTCCGAAGCTTTGATTAACAAAAGGAAAAAAGGTACCTACTGATGGATAGTATTTTATAAATATAATGAAGATCCAAAAGTTTGTGAAAATGAAATTTAAATTATAAATGTGTCTTGAGGACGAAACCCTCGGTGTGCAAGTTTTGATCACGTTTTGTGGGTTTACTTTTCTGTGTTATGGCTTGAACTTTACTTCAAGCACAGTCAGAGCAGGTCGACTCGCGTAATAACGAATATATTTTATGTATATGTTTGTCGGTATGTTTTTGGACATTTTTAGCAGCGCTAACTAAGTGTTGATTATGATGTTCCATCTTTGTTTTGTATAATACCCAGTGACAGGACGAACAAGTTGTGCGCCTGGTGTTAAGTGACACTCCTGTCCATAACAGACGCAGTGCCACTCAGAACTTCAAAACGCAAAGATCCAAAGGGCACTGCCACTGCGCCCGTCACCCTGAGACATAAGTTGACAAGTCCCATGTGCTTATAATTTCACCAGCACCCTTTCCCTGCAAAACCGGAAAGCAGTAATGCTCACGATATTACTTGGCTGCAGAAATAGGTAAGGTGGCAGTACTTCCCTGGACGTACTCTGTCACAAGGAGCTCCACTGGTACTAAATCATATTTTAACTGACTAGTGTACCTGATGGCTACTTTGAGCCTAATGTGTTCCTATGTATGGGATAGATAGGATTACATTAGCAAAGGGATAGTGATCCCCAGACCCTACAATGTCGACCATTTCAAGGCAGCATTGTAACTTCAAACAAGTGGAAGTAAGCGCCGTGATACATTTCTGACCACCTAATTGTGGAGCGAAGGCCTGTGTGTCTGCTAGACGACGTCTTGTCAGAATGACACGACTTGGAAAGGCAAGAATGAAAAAGTCGTGTTTGGTTCGACAGTTATTTTAATTTAAAATTTCAAAAAGCAAATACAATAATCTCCGCATGACTCGTCTCATAAAGCTTTACACGTAAGGTAGTAATAGTAGATAATGTAATAAATATAACAAACAGTGAAGTACTCGGCGCCGAGGGCCCTCGGCTCTACTTGTCCTTCTCGCTCTCCGCCTTCCGGCCCAGAGGCACCGCCGCCCGCACCCTGCGACAAAAGAACAATTCAGCTCCCAGAAGCCATTCATCAACACGTCGTTTTACGAATGTGCCAACGAAAATGTTTGCTAAGTACATTTTCCTAAAACATACCCGAAAATAATTGCATGACTTTCAAAAAACGAACACGAAAAGTTTGTCATTTATGGACCGTGCGACATCTTCCCGGCCAAGGCCTTAAATATGACAACACATTACTGTCAGCTACTCTAAACTTATTTAAAATATTTTTTTTTGAGCACTTGCTATGGAGCCAGCAGCTTAATTAAACAAGTAACAAATAATTAAGAAACTCAAAAGGAAATAATACTTAAACTAAAAATTAATTTGTAGAAAAACTGTAACTATAATAATCTCAGTACAGAGTACTAAAAAAGAACGACCTCAAAAGTACGTGGAATTACGTCTATTTGCTAAGTTTTATTGAAATATCCCCTAGTTCGCCACTATACAGGACTTGACACTGGAGATAATAAAAATCGCTTCTCACTACTCAAAGTATATAGAGAGAAAAACGCCTTGAATTGGAGAAATAGCAAAATCAACCACTAAAGTAATTGCTCCTAAATTAAAGTTAGGCGCTATTTATAGAAATGGATCTTCAAGCGTGAACACCCACCCTTCTAAGTGGATGACTTTCTTCAAAATGAAATGGGACCACTATGGAAGTATCTCATTTCCAACAAAAAAAGAATCATGAAAATCGGTTCACAAATACCGGAGTTATCGCGTAACATACATACAAGAAAAAGAACATACAGTCGAATTGAGAATCTGCTCCTTTTTTGAAGTCGGTTAAAAACTCGCCATTTTTTTATTGGAATTTTAACTTCTGAACCAATCTATTATCAATAATTAATTGAGTAATTTGTACCACTTTTCTTTTTAAAAAAAAAGAAAATTGTGGTGTAATAAACTAAAGTGCTTTGGTACGCATTTCTAATTTTTCGTTTCTTTTTGTATTTACGTCGCAAAAATGAGTTCTAGTGAGAAGAGGGATAACAAAAATACAGTAATGTATTGTGCTCCCCCTAAATTAAAACAAGGGCCTTTAATATTAATTAATATTTTTTAATTTTTAAAGATGGTTTCCTCTCTTTACCCTTATTTCCTAAGAATGTTTGAGAAAAGTACTATATATGCCTCGGTGGGGACGGGTATTGTTTAACTCGTATTAATACAAGGTTTCGCTAGCGTTCGGCCTCGTCACCCATACTCGTCGGGCAATCCCTTACTTCCCGGCCTCTGCAGTAATGTATTGTTAAAAACATAGGTGGAAAAAGTAGGAGTTACATTAATAATAGAAAGGGGTAAGTACAGTGCGTGTATAAAGAAATGTTAGTCGAAGGGTGTAGAAATGAATGAACGAAGTCGTACTTAGAAGAGATCTCGTTGATCTTGGCACGCGCCAACTCGAGATTGGCGTCCACCTGCGCCTTGTTCATCTCGTAAGCCTTCGGTAGAGTGAACAACGCTATCCAGCCTGAGGAAAAAGAAATAATTATTTGCTACACGTTATAAAATTATGACTCTGGGAAAATAATTAATTCCATATATTAAAAAAATCTGTTTATATGTACTTTATTTCTAGGACCTTAAACTACGGTGGCTTCACAACCGGTACACGGCAAGCATAGTACCGAAAAGGTATGTAGCGCGCCCGCGACGACTGGTCTTTTAACAGTCTTAGGTTCACCGAATGCTTTCCACATTTGGAAATTTCCAATACAATTTACAAGCCGTCGACCACATTGAGTGCGCAAAGTCCAGCCCACGTTTTAAAAAATACAATGAATAATGCTGCGGTTTCACCAATAATTTCCCGGAGAATAAGGCGCAGAAGAATAAGAATAATCCAGGTCTGCGCGCGCAATTTTATTTATCCGCTTGACGTTCACTGGACGCGCTGCGGCTGTTTTGCGTCCGGGAAAACGCAACATTTCCAACGACATTTCCTTAGTACGTCAGACTTGTTATTGTTTATTGCCACAAGAGAACAAAATCTTCGAGAATTTGAGGTAAATTTATTCTTTGTTTGATACGAACGTATTGCATTTGCGTAATTTATTCTTCTATACAGTAAAATAAATAAATCTAATCATCAACACACACGCAGTTACGCACGGGTTTCCATTAAATTCTTAAGCTTTAGTTTCACTCATATAAGTTAGTACAAAGGACGCCGAAACATTGTGTTAACTAAAACCGTACAAGGAGATTCAAGTTAAAATGGAAACAAAAAAGCGACGTGTACAAACAATCTGTACCCTAACTGCGAATGGCCCACGTGTTCGGTGCACGATACATTTCGGTTCGGTTCATTCGAATGCGAGTGCGGGGCGCTTTGTTGGCTACTTGAATTGAAGTCGAATCAAAATATCGATATTCAATTACTTACCTATTACATGCGACTGTTAAGTATCAATCAAACATACGGACAGCGCGCGGGCGATTGATCAATGAAATGTCCGACGAGCTATATGATATAGGGGCCCTCGCAATGAATTAAACTGTACTACTGTCTTGGTCCAATGAGTGCTCTACGTTTGGTGGTACGGTCGCTTGTACCTAGAGTAATACGTAACTGTCGCAATTGTTTATTAAAAATTGTATAGTACATATTTAAAAAAAGTGACAGTTTGTACAAGTAGTATTACGTAGGTATGTATAGTTACGTGGCTGACTGTACGTACCGAGGATGATGAGCGTGATACCATTGAAGCAGGCGCCGACGTACGTGAGGCACCACAGCAGCACGCCGAACTTCAGCGAGTCCACCAAGTCCTCCACCAAAAATAATCTACGTCAAAAATATCATAAAGTTGGATTTAGTATGTTTGTTTTTCGCAGTGGCACTCATGCGCATAAACAAGGCATTGATCCCACGATAGTAGGTTAGGTGCATTTTTCACATCTCTTCGCTGACCTTGATCGTTCAATGTACGTTGCTATTAAGCAATCCCATGCACTGAGTAGGTATTGCAATACAGCGGGCTCTTGCAGAGTCAGCGTCAACTATTCATAATTATGTAGTATAGACCTTGTCAAATGTGCAGATACAAAACTGAATGTCTTTGTATACGTATACATATAAGATCGTATTTAGTCAAGTTGAAATGCTATCCACTGGTGTCCGATTCGGACGCAACGTCAATCGCCAAATGCGAGATTGAGTAACATTTTAGTTTATGTAGACCTACATATTATTTTTAATTTATAAATAAGTAATAAACGTAGCCAGTGCGCTCATACTAGTTATACACGGAGACGAGGCCACTTGCTACATCGTTGACGGAAATTGGTCTATGTAACAGAGAGAAAAACAAAAGAGCGCTGGAAGAGACACGAGTGACGGACTTAAGCCAGAAACAAAATTGATGATGGCGCGCAATTGAAAGACCTAAATAATGATTTCTACCTTTTCAGTAGAAGAAAAGGCAGGTAGTATACCGTTGGTGAAAACACTGGCTAAGATGAGACGCTGTTTACCTGCGCAGTTCGGTGAGCGCCGCGTTGAGGTGCGCGGTGGCGGCGGCCGCCAGCGACTGCGCGCGCTCCGCCGGCACGCTGATGTCCTGCTCCAGCAGCCATCTGCAACCACGCCGCGAACCACTTAAAGTGTGACCTTACTTCCCTAGGGTGGCCGAGGCGGCACTTACGCGTCGTACTTCATTATCATAAAAAAGTACAATACGGGTCTCTTAAAACTTCGGTATTGGCTGACAGATTGTTTCATTACCTTAACTTATACTCACCGATTCTTGGTAAATTTATATAAAGTTCAGGCCACAAATGACATAAATTCGTATATACATTAGGTTTTTTTTATACTATCAAGTGACGGGACGAAAACGTCGTGCGCCTGATGGTAAGCTACACGCCTGTCTATAACAGTTGCAGTGCCACTCGTAGCTTTAAATCGCAAAGATCTGAGGAGCACTGTCACCAGTGGCGGATTTGCCCTAAGGCCCAGTAGGCCCGGGCTTAGGGCGGCCAATCGTGACAAAAAATTCACTGATACAACAAATAACTCAAAGTACCTAAATAATCCAAAGGCTCGCGCACATTATGGCGGGCCGCACTGCACCGCATCGTGTAATAATAATCTTCCTAAATCACTTTCGTACATTTGTGTATAAAATATAGATATGTTTACATATCCACATATAATGTAATGTATTATCACTACCGCGTCAGTCTGTCTGATCGCGATAACGTCAAAACTACTGAACGGATTTTCATGCGGTTTCCACCAACAGACAGAGTGATTCATGAGGAAGGTTCAAGTGTATAATTTATTTAGGTTTTGTGTAAGTTGGCTGAGATCTTAAATGTTTTATTTAAATCTGAAACCTCCGAAAATATTAAAAACTAGCAGCTATTACTGTTAACCAAATGTTTTAATCGATTTCGATAAGAGTTGGCAATAAAGTCAAGTCAATTCATTATGTAGTCTACCAGTATATGATGAGACTACATGGCCTGGGGCCTAGGGCGGCCAAGACTGCAAATCCGCCACTGCGCCCGCCACCCTGAGACTTAAGTTGACAAGTCATGGGACTTGTCAACTTAGGTCTCAGGGTGCTTACTTACGTACTTAAGTGCCCGTAATTTCACCAGCACCCTTACCCTTCAAAACCGGAATACAGTAATGCTGACATTACTGCTTGGCGGCAGAAATAGGTAAGGTGGCAGTACCAACCTGTACGAACTCGTTCACAAGGAGCTCTATTGTTACGAAATTTAAAAAAAAATCTGTTTTACCTTAAGATTGTTAAGGACGGGGACACTTAGGGATTACCCTAATTCAAACAAGACAAGGAAATACTTAGTAAGTGCGTTTTTAAAGCGAAAAACATGTCTCACACGTCGCACATCTCCCGTGGGCGCTGTCGGTGTTTTCCTGCCAGTTTGTGTATATTGGTATGAAAAAACTACAGCGCTGTAAACAATCGACAGTCTCTTAACCGCAAGGATTAGCACCCGATATTGGGTACATAAATAAACACTTTCGCTTCAACTGCTCTCATTCAAGGAGGCTGTAGGTCAGGGGGCCTACCATAACCTTTCCACAAACAATCTTATTTCAATGTAAGCTTATTCTAATAGTACTCATATTCGTACCATGACGAACCCGTGAACCAAGTAATGTATTATTGCAAAAGTGATTGAAAGAACGAATGATTTCCCAATATTGTCTATTCCTTACTAAAAATAGGAAATAGATAACGCTATGTCAACTATATAATGCCATCTCTTTTTTTTTTGATGTTCCGAATCGTCTTATCGTAGTATAATGTTTAAAGTAGGTACTTAATGTTATTTACATTAAGAGAATTTTGACTGTTAAGAAAAGTATGTAATAATAAAATCTATAAAAATTACTTTGTTTTCAATAATTATTCCGCATTTTCATGAAGAAAAATAAATAAAACAAGCTCGAGTTTTGATAGTCACGTTGTGAGTTCGGAACTATAGTCTAGTGTCAAGTGTAAGTTTCGCCAATGAGCATATAGACGGCGCTGTTATAATTTTATGAATTAAACATCGCGTATTTTTATTTAAAGAAAAATTATTTACTATGTGTTAATAAATAAAAAATTAAACAAAATATTGAAGAGATATATGTAAATAAATAAGTTCAACTTAACTTTTAATCATTACAAATCAATATTAAGACAATAAAACTGAAAATAATATTGTTTCCACTGCATCCGTGTACCTATTTTAAGATTGCTAAATTTGACATAAGAGCATTATTACTTTAATGTTAACGTCGTGTCATGGTACGAACTGAGGGAATGAATAGTCACAAAGCTGCGAATAAAACATCATAGTTTTAACATTACAATAAACGTACTTAAGCGCGTTATGGTACGCAAAGTCAATGTAAGGTTAAAGTAATATTGTTTTAAGAGGTCGTGGTAGGCCCCCTGATCAATTTAATTGAAATCGGCGCTAACATAATGTTGCCATGTAAAAAGTTTTGAATATCCAATAGACATAATTTTTATTAGGCCAGACAATTTCCATGTAGGTTCAGTTGCCTGGGATGAAAAAATAGATATAGGAAACTCGTCTTATTACGTGATATATCTATTCGGTGACAAAATGTTATACAAAGTCAAAGTCAAAAGCCGTTTACTCCATAGGTAAAATAAATGTACACTCTTAAAAGGAACGTTAACGTAGGAGGATAAATTTCCTTTTCCTTAGTAAAACTCTGTGCTGTGTGCTTTTGTGTCACTGACATACGGGTAAATGTTAAGTACGTCCATCTCCCGCCAAGCGTGACGTGACAGAGCGCTCGGCTCGCGCCCGTCCCCGGACCTTGCCTGCGACTTCCCACTGCTCCTCTCCGATAGATAATAGTACATTAAGGGCGGCAAACCAGACGTTGTTTTAGTTGTGAAGTGTATTACAATTTTTTAAATTTAATTACTCGAAGTTTGTAATTTTTACCACCCGCGTCACACACATACAATGTTTTTCATCACATTGAAATAAATAAAATGATAATTTATTTCTTGAATAAATAATAGTGGCTTCACAACACAACAATTTTACTGATTCTGCAAATGGCGGCTCTTTTTTATACAAACAGATGGCCAGTTACATTCTTCCAACTCGAACTACAATGTTGTAAAAGGCAAAAACGAATACAGCCATTATGTATTAGATATACAATAAATAATTTCAAAGCATTAAATTTACTGTAGAATTTGAATTTATAAAATTAGTAGCAGTAGAACTCCTTGTGAAAGAGTTCGTCCAAGAAAGTACTGCCCCCTCACCTATTTCTGCCGCCAAGCAGTCATGGGAGCATTACTGCGTTCTGGTTTTGAAGGATAAGGGTGCTGGTGAAATTACAGGCACATGGGCAGCCCCACCCAAGCAGTTAACTTATACCTCGGTGACAAGCGTACAGGTAGTGCCCCTCAGATCTATGCGATTCAGAACTCTCAGTGGCACTGCAACTGTTATGGAAAGGTGTGTAACTTACCATCAGCCACACGGCTTGTTTGTCCCGTCACTTGATATTATATAAAAAAAAAATTAGTTACATTGCAAATATTTAGTTTTATTTCTATACTTCAAGCTTGTGAGAAATACATTCTCATTTTCTCAACTTTAATACTTATCAATTAAATTTAACGTGTTTAAAAGAAAGTACAGCCCAATGAAATAAAAAAAATCTGATGCAAAAGACCGCGGACGTAATTCAGATCGTTCATTAAGGTCGACTTTGCTTGCATGTCATGAGACTTGTTACGGATAAGTGTGACGAAAAGTAGATTACAACATTAGAGTAAACTTCGCCCACGACATAGTCGCTATTACTATTACATTGCACTGCGTTCATTGTATCGCGCGATGCTTGACTGTACCATTAAATGATTTGTCCACCCCATTTTCTAACATGTATGAACTATTGTAAGTATTCAAATATTTTTTTTAAGTTTTAGCTTTAATTTTTTTAATTTAAGTATTCTAAGCAAAAATTTAAAGTATACTGCAGTCAGTGTGTACTTGACTGTAGGTAACTTAATGCCGAATAGAATTTTATAATCGTTTGATACGGTCACGATTAAAGGATCATTAATTCATGACAGAAGCAGGTACTGGATAGAGGAGGACATAAGATATTTACAAAATATATTTTCTCCACAGCTGTTTGTAAACTATGATGCAGGTGTGATGTAGTCTTTAAAACGAATTTACTCCATTATTTGAACGTCAAATTTAAGAATAGAAGTAGGCACTATAGCTGTAATTTCACTTTTTATGTACGTATAGGTTTATACATATACGTACATAAAAAGAGTTTAGGTTCGTACCGTTATTGGTAAAACTAATGCAAAAAAAAAAGATTGGCGAATGCCATTCTACAGAAAAGAATATATTTTAAATAGCCCTATAAACGGTAATTGGAATAAAAAGTATTCCACATTTAAGTTGAAATGTCGTCTGGTCCTATCGACGACGGAGGCCTAACGTAACAACTTACAAATGCATGAGTCACATTTGCCATTTAAGTCATCAAAGGTTTTAAAAAGACGATTACGTCATACAGTTGTTACTTACAATGTGACATGAGACAAGGGGAAAACAAAATATTGAATAGCAATTATAAGAAACTGGATAATAATATCATGTAAGTATAGATCTACTTACTTTATAGTACATTATGTATTAAGATTACGGCGGTAAATAAGAGATTACTAACGAGAGTATGTTAGAATTTAATAACTCGAGGTTTCGATGTTGCTATTTAGTCAGTTCTAGTCGCAAAAAACTAGATTTTGTCGGTCCGCCGCTCAAAAGTTATAAGAATGTTTTACTGTCTACCCTGGAAATAAGCTTTTATTCCAGCAGCACCATTACTCAATCTCGAGAACCACAACAGCTAGCTTAGATCCGTTTACACTAAAAAAAAGCGCCCGGAACGCTTCCGCGGCCGCCTCTGTGTGGCCAGAGTATTATGGATTTTGCAATGGCGGTTTTTTTTTTAGATTGCCTGCTTTTCTTCTATATCTTATAATACAACTCGAACTAAAATGTTATAAAAGGCACGAGATGTTTTCGTTTCACCATCTTCTTGCCATCTATTAGTCACAAAAATTGACTACTTGTTGGATGGTATTACAATTTGCAAAATTAAACAAAACAAAAACAAATGATAATACCCTAATAAAAAAATAAAATACGACGGACATTAACGAATTTGTTTCTAATGAGTGTATATTACCGACTTTGCATCTTAACAGGTGGGAATGTGGCAATTTTGCATCTAAAACGGTTGCGCCATTTTCATAAGTTTGACAGTAGGGTAAAAGACCTAAATTTGTATCAGCCGAAACGAAAATGTTAACGAAAGAAAATTACCGAATCATGTTTGTTTATGTTTATGTAGGAAGTACAAGTAGGTATCATAATTGACGAATGAACTGAGATGTGCACTTATGTTTTCCATCAAAATGTTCACACGTTGGAAACGAGAGCTGTCTTTTCGGTGCATATCGTAAACATGTACCTACTCAAAAACAAAAACTGCATTCAAAAAGCAAACTTTCCATGTGCAAGAAAATGTAGTTGACAATAATGTTCTCTATTATTCTATGACTATGAATAAGGTTCTCTTCCATATGTCTGGATCACGACTACGTTACCTAGAATGTCTTGAACAAACTGGGTGCACATTTTCTTCCATTTTCAAACGATTAAACAGAAAAAAACAATAAATAAAACTTTCAAGCGTAATCTCCCTACAAAAAGTTACAACCGCCGTATTGAATCTATGAAGTAAAACGCGCTGTGATTATTTGAAATGGACAATATCGTCTTTGTTTCTGACCCAATCATGGACATTGTCAAGTTTGCGCCTTACCCCCGTCTTTCGGAGCGATTTTCGGAGAACCTATACGTCTCCGCAACTAACTGAAATTACCGCCTCGAAGCATTTGACGTCACAAACAAAATGACAATACAATACAAAAGAAGTCAATTTTAGACAGAGACGGTTTTGCTTGTATGCCCCTGAGATATAGAATAAACAATTTCCAAATTCTGAAATTACTGTACTATTTGAATACACAAAATAAATTTAGTAAAATATAATTAAATTGCAAAACTTCGGCTTTTTTTATACTTAAATTTTATGCAAAATATACATTCAGATTTTTCGAGCATAAATACTTTTTGCTTAATCTTGACGTAAAAAATCCATAAGGCGATAACATAATGAAAAACCATGGGCATAATTTAGGACATCACGGTCGACTTTGCCTGCATGTCATCGATCATGACACTGTTTACGAGCAAGTGTGATTGATGTAAATAATATTTAGTTGTTGGCAAAAATTACCCAAGTCGCACAATCACGTAAAATAGAAAACAGAGGTAAAATAGCCCTCTGTGTGAGGCAAGATTTCATCATCATCATCATATACAGCCTGACTTCACCCACTGCTGGGTATAGGCCTCCAAGTTTCTGTGCCACTCCCCACGATCCCGTGCCAATCTCATCCATCTTTATACTTAAATTTCATGCTAAATATACATGTATTAATTTACATGTACATAATTTTTTTTTAAGTTTTAGCTTTAATTGTTTTTATTTAAGTATTCTAAACAAAAAATTAAAGTAAATTTATTTAAATTTTATTTCCAGGCAAGATTTAACTTGCCTAAATTACGTATGTAATGTGTTGGCCAAAAAGTCAGTACAAATTGCACAATACAAAAATAGAAATTATTACAAGGTGCAACAAAATTTTGGAAAACCGAATCCAACACTTTTTGGATTGTTTATGTCACGTAAGATATTCGTATACATATAAATAGTATTCACCTTGTAATAAATGGAATACAAGCGCAGGTGATGTGCGTTACGATATTACGCTCGGTTAACCGGCGAGGTAAGTAGTCGAATACTGTTCAGCTGATTATACGAACACGTGGAGTTGCCCAGCAAGCCGGTTGATTCATTGACCCGCAAGCGCAGAGTGCGCCTTGCACACAGCCGCAGCTAAGGCGCTGGCAACCAAAATACTATCGAATACGCATTAATTATTATCTTAATCACAGATTATCACTTTTTGCCGTACAACAAACAGAGATAATATTTGTCTCTGGAGAGCGCTGCACCGAAAATGCTGGTTGTTTAATTCATTTTCAGTTACTCGTCATGACTACAACACTTATGTATATTTAATAATTTAACTGGCTGAGTGAAGAAATCGATTTCTCGCAGAATAAGCAAGATTAGCAACAAGCACATACAAAAATTCGTAAGGTCCGCTAATTCGTTCCGTGACTTAGTTAACATAACGTCTGCCACGGTTTGGTAGAAGACGTTGATTGGGATCCAGCCGATTCGAAGAAAGTTGTTCTCACTGTTTGATCTTTGTATTAAAAATTATATTTAAAAAACCGACCTCAAAGGTTTGCTGGAAAAAAGTCGATATTATTTGCTTTTGACAAATTTGATTGTAATCGGTTAAAGTAAGGCGCGCGAAACCGGATTGATCACCTAGTTTGCCACCCTTCGAGGTGGAATATTTTTTCAAATTTAAATGGGACCAACACTGAGGTGAGCTACCCTCTTTCCAAAAAAAGAATCATCAAAATCAGTTTCAAAGGCCGGAGTAATCGCGTAATATACACAACAAGAAAATGCAGTCCAATTGAGAAGCTCCTTCTTTTTTGAAGTCCATTAAAAAAGAGATTACGATTATTAGTTCATTATATTTGTTGTACGATAAAAATTCCTTCACAAACAGGTGGACGCCTTTAGCAGTAAGTAGTAGGTATTATTAAAGGCATGGTGTTTTTACTCACTTAAATGGATGTCCTTCATTGGTCTTTTGTACTGCCTGCAGCACGTTCTTGTAGACGCGGAAGGCGACGGCGGCGGAGAGCGTGAGCAGTGCAACGTACGCCAGCACAGAGACGACGCTGCAGCACGCCAGCGCCACCAGCACCACCAGCCCCGCGCCCAGCGCCGCGCCGGACCGCGCCGCGCACCGCCAGTAGATCAGAGACTCAACTGTAACACCACCACACATCTTTTTAATTCTTATTTCCCCAGCGACGTCAGTTATTGGCCTAACGCTAACCCTCCATCGAATGTATATAATATTTAGTATTTCGTTTACTACGGAGGAGTGCGTGAAGTGCAAAACGGTCAATGAATATTGTCCGTAAATGAACTCGACACGAGCCCAGTCGCAGTCGCGATCGCGAGATCAACAAATAAAGTTTTGGTCGGTAAACAAAGCTCACAGAAGTACCTAGTGGCATTCTAAGTTTCACGCTTATCGTAGAGTTAATGCCAATGGACGCAACTGTCTCGCCTACTCTATACTTAATAAGAACGCAAACGCAGACGAGTCTAACAATAATAAACGTTATGATTAGACATATTCACGGGGACATTGATGAATTATTTAATTTTTACTACATTCTGATGTACAATTTGGGATAAATTGCATAGCAGGAAAAGCAACCAAAGTGTATTAGGTAGATGCGTACGCCATAAAAACCGTTTTAAAAAAACAAACAAAACAAAAAGATTGTGAAGACAACAATATTGTAACAAATTTTTAAAGCAAACTGGTGTAGCGCGTGGGAAGTTCGTTGAAAGTTGATCCAAGTTGTGTGATCCTGGAATCCCGACCAGTTTGCACTGCCAAGACAAGGTCCGACAATCAGTATTGTCTTACACATACGTGTAAGCGCAGTCTTACAGTCACACCCGAGTGATTAAAGAAAATATGCAATATGTGCGTCAAATGCTGTAGCAAAATACATCATGAGTAAAGAGAGAGAGATTAGAGAAAGGTAAGACTAAAAAAAAATTGTTCGTTGTATCTTTACCATATTGACGATTTCAATGTGTGCAGGGTTTTTTGAAAGCACGTTCATACAAGGAATGCGGTTAACAGGTACGATTACAATCACTCTCGGCTCTAGCGAAGTGGCGATGAGATGATAACTAGTGTTTCAGTCATGACCAAACAATATGGTATGCCGGCGACGTCCACGTTAGCACTGCGCTTCCACGTCCTCAACGGAGGCGGCGGTCTCGCGGCCGCGGGCCCTAAGTATCAGCGGAGCAAGAGCTCGCTTGCACGCGGGAGAAATCGCAGACGGCAGCGAGATTCCACACAGGATCTTGAACTTAGTGGTTGTACCTGGTCCACGGGGAGGGAGGTCGTCGTTCTGCGCGGCGTGTCGCGACTGCTTGGGGCGCGCCATGACGGCGGAGTGAGCGAGCGCGCGCGGCGTCGCCCGCTGCCGCCGGCCGCCGGTCGCCACGAATACACCTTTCTCACAACGTCACCCAGCCGACTCAGCGCACCATGCCGCATCGCGTAAAACGTAGACTGTCTCTCAATAAACTTGCTGTCGGGTCCGAACGTTTATTTCAGTTTAACTGTACGCAACGTATCGAGATATAAATCATATTAGCTTAATTTTGCCGGCGCAAATGCCCGTAGGAATGCTCTCTTTAGGCACAGTGCAATAATTCATTATACCAGAAAAAGATACTTTAGGTCGGGACCAGGAGCCGCCTTAAGCGTTTGCGACACGAATAACTCCATCAAATTGTGGAAAGTTTATAGAGTATATTGGTCACCCTAGCGGCACATGCAAACCGCCAACGAAAGGCAGTAGAACGTCGCGTCATCGCGGCATCGGTGCCCCAAAGAGTCAAGACTCAGTCATATCTGACGACAATAAAGGCCCTCATAAAACTGATTACGTTATTTGTTTAGGTCCGTCTACACATTACGATATTACAGTGTGGAATCACTCCTAAGAGCGCTTTGAAATTTAGTCCGAAGATTGGAAGATACAGAAAAAAAAGCTAAAAATTATGACCAGTTTTATTATAATACTTTCAAAAGTATAATATTGCTCAGTTACATAATAATAATGTGGTGCGAATTGAGAGGGCGACTGTTGTGTGTTTTCTTTCACCGTCTGCTTGAGCACATTTGACTCGAAAATTGAAAGTGAACTCGCAACAAGTAAGCGCCATTCATGGTCTTATTCGAAAATATGAAGAGCTAGTCCAAAGACGCTCGAGAGAGCATTGCGAAATGGCAATCAATTGAAGTGCAGCGCTTGCCAAAATAAACAGGTAGGCGCTATTTGCGGGGTGCGAGTTGGCAGCGCGGGCGCAACAGGACGCGGGCGGGGAGAGGACGGAGCGGGACAGCGGTCAATGCCACTGCGGCTTATCGATCACTCTCGCTTGAACAATAATCTGTAGATGACAAGAAACACGCCGATTCAATGTTTCTACATACAATACTACCCAATTGAAGCATTCGTCTCAAACTGAATATTATGCCCAAACGCAGTATACGAATTGTTTTCTGAAAAGGCTTTCTTCGCATCCAACAACACAATCTGTACAACTCTGTCCGTCTTAGTGGACGACTCAGTGACCGGAAGTATCCATGTCTCTTAAATGGGTTGGTAGGTTAATGTGAAAGTACCTATAAGGCGCATCCATCGAATGTTATCCATTTTATAATAGGAGTTCACAATAAGTTAACTCAATTTAATGTAAAGAACAAGATGCGGACAGTACGATCGACTTCCTCGACCTCAATGATAAAAAAGAATAAATAAAAATACAATTGCTCCTTAAATGATTAAAAATCATTTATAATCTAATCACATTGTTATAGAAACATCGACAACGATAGCAAAATGCACATCACGCTTTGCATGTCTCTGCACTCGTGTAAAACAAAAAAGCAAAAGCATTCAATGGAGTTTTTTTAATTTGGAAACATCATGAATTTAGTGTATCAGAGATAAATCACTCGTTATAGAAACAGAAAGTCAGATATGAAACGAGGCATGTCTAATTTTTATCGATCTATTTTTCAATCCGAGTGAATAAGAGATGTTAAAAAGCATCAACAATAAACAATTAAGTAATACATTAAAAGGGAGCCGATGTGTCCCTTTCGAAACGAATCTAATCGGTGCGCAATTTAAATTGTATGTATCGCATCACGAAGCGAAGCGACCGTCACTTTGTGGGGTTTACGAGCTGCGACCGCAAAGGGAGATAAACGTAACCGCATTCAGCGCGTGCCGCAGGGCCGCAGTGCCACAGTGCCACAGTGCCGCACGTTGCGGTCGGAGCTGTTGCACCTACTCCTGTCTTCTAAGAACCAGCGCATGTTGTTGCCTGAATGAAAAGGCTAATCGCAATACAAAAACACTCTGTTATCTCGAATTGTACCATTACCTACATAATCTCAGGTTACGAGGAAAGATTCATATATAGAAAGCGTATAATGTGACGTCGATGCCAAAACTGGAAAATATTTTTCATCACACTTGCTGTAAACAGTGTCGCGGCGTGCAGACAAAGTCGAACGTAGTGTCCTAAATTATGTTCACGGGCTTGTTTATCATTACATTATCATTTTATGCACTTTTTACGTCAAGATTAAGCAAAAAGTTTTTATGCTCGAAAAATCTGAACGTACATTTCGCATAAACTTGAAGTATAAAAAAGTAAACGGTTACAATTTAACTATATACCTATATATATTTTTTATTTCACTAAATTTATTTTGTGAATTCAAATTCTGCAGTATTTTTACATTGTGGCTACATACATACATACATACATACATTGTGGCTACATACATACATACATACATACATTGTGGCTGCATACGTCTGTGCCTGATAACATTTTAGATAAATAAGACAGATATACACTTTATTGCTCACACGTCAGAACAAAACAGTATACATGGACAGCTGAAAACTAAGTGAGCAAAGACGGCCTTATCGCTAAGAGCTATCTCTTCTAGACAAACTGTGAGTTATAGAAAAGCTAATCAGAGCGGGGTACGTAGTGTGCCAATGGCAAAATTTGAATTGTATTATTTGTTGCATTATTTAATACGTTGTATAATTATAGACAAACTTAATATTTTATTTTATCAAATAATAAATAACGATATAGTACATTTTAGTTCGAGTTGTATTATCTATGGAAGCGCAGCTGGCAAAATGGTGATAAAAAAATTAAAGTTCCCGCCAATTGCAAAATCCGTACATTTTGTGAAGCGATATTCATTCTTACAAGGAATAAACTTATCGTTGTATCTATTTCCTCGCATATATAATATAGAACATTCATTGTACGTAGCACGGGCGGTAAAAATTACAATCTCGAGTCATTACAGTTTATAATATAAATTCTAACTTTCGTTTGTAACTTCTTATTTACAGTCCTTAGTACATCCAGTATATAACCGGAAATAGAGACGAAATGAGGGCCATATACTCCTGGTAACACACTAGCGATACAACTCTTACAAATATCAACTCTCGTTTGCCCTGAAATATAGACAGGCCAACTACTGACCTGCGTGTACGTCTCCGTATATTCCAAAAAATATTATGTATTTATTGTAATAAAGATAACATCTCTAACAATGCCGTGCTGTTCTATTCGGTGGTGAGGGAAAATAGCAAAACATCTAATTACAAAACAAACGGTATCACATTTCATCGGTAATTAAATATTAAAAAGGCAATTTTGTAATTTTCATCCATTATAGCAAAGCTCAAGTTCGTTTGCAAGCTGGTCGTTTTGAAGTGAAACAGTTGACGACACCCGTAAATTGTTTCGAACTCGGGCTGGCCAATCGGAGGGCAGTTGTCACAGTAATGATTTGGCAGAATAGTTTTCAAACAAATTAAATGACATTTCGTCTCTATTTCTGGTTATATACTCGATGCCTTAGTATAATACAATTTACTGGTGTTGTAGAACTTTACTTTCTTTCCTCCCAGTTTCAAGTATAAAACTTATTTCCCCAAAGTTTTGGGTGACTTAGAATGTAAGAAGGATAAAATTTACAAGTTCAAGGTCCGTAAAAATGGTCTGATCGTCGTGTTATGAGATAATTGACGTCCAGTGCACGCACATTCTATGCCCGATTTAAAGTTAGATGTTATTCTCGCATCCATCGATAAACCATTTCACTGCAAAAAAAA